AGAGAGAGAGAGAGAGGACAGAATACAAGAGAGAAACAAAGAGAGAGAGAGAAGCGCACAAAGCGTCGAAGGGTCAAGTCGTGTCAAGATAGCATTGCGAGGCAGCAGATTAAAAATCTTGGACAAAGAGCTTCGGCAAAAAGATCAAGAGAAGTACTAATTTGATTGTTATACATGATCGATCGAGAAGAGTTTTTAAATTCTTAGTTAAATTAACTTAAGTTAACACAGTTGTTTATATATATCATTTCTTGATAGTTTCGCAAATTGCGCTACAATGTTGTTTATGCAGGGCGTAGTTATGGATGGCATAGTGGGAGTTAAGAGCGTGAATAGAAGGAAAAAAGGAAAGGAGTATAAGAGGGAGATATATAAATATAGTGAGAGGGAAGGGAGGAATAAGAGGGAAGAAAGGAAAGAGGAGAGAAAAGTGTAAGAAAAGAAAAGGGGGATTGAAAGGGAGGAGAGAAAGAAGGAGAGAGAAAAGCTAGAAATTATCACTTAACGATCGGTTTTTAACGATCCCGTGAGAGATGTGTTTAGGAGATGATTAGGGATGATTAGGGATACGGTTGAAATAGAGGACAAAACGATTACGGTCAATTAAATAATTCAAGTCAATAAAAAAAACGACCGTGTAATACTCTACCGTGCGTTAATTCAAATAGCGCGGAGTAAGAATAGCACAGAAAAGAAACGAAATGAAATCTCGTATTAAATTTTAATTGATCCAATGGAGATTTATTAATATTTAGAAATTTAGTGATGTATCGCGATATATGCATATGGATGTAAAAGTAGCAATCATACATATGGATGTATGTGCAATCATATGGTACGGCCTAGCAAACCTAATCTAATGCACACTCACACGCACATGTCAGAAAACAAGACGACGCACGCATGTACACACACACAAACACACACACACACACACACACACACAAAATGCTAAGTGAGTGGCTGAGTGAGTGACTGAGTGAATGAACAAATGAGAGAAAAAGAAAAAGAAAGAGAGGAGGAGGGAAAGTGGGGAAGAATATTGCACGAGGTTCTAACAAGTCGCCAAAATGACTTGAAAATCGAAAAAAAAGTGTAAGATAAAATCGAATAGTTTTAACTGCTCTATATATTGTTACACATTATCATTTCTATCTATTTATACACATATATATGCAATTAAAAAATTCGATTTTGTTCCAACTTTTTTTCAAACGAAATATTTCTTAAGACAATATTTGATGCAATTTTCTATTAATCTTATCTATAAAAGATATTGCAACATTTTTAGAAAAAAAATGTTTGATTTAAGAAATATAGTCTAAAGTTTATGAAATATTAGTTGTTTTATATTTTTATGTCTTTACCTATAAGAGATATTAGAATGACGTACAATTTCTCACTC